TAAGTCATTAGATATGCATGTACTTCGTTTTTTTTTTTGTTTTTTTTTTTTGGGGCCCCTGTTTAGTGTGATAATCCGATTGAGTTTTTCGACTCAGTCCTCTGATCCGGTCTATGTGGCTTACTTGTAGAGATTAGTCCCATCTAGGAAGGTAGGTTGATCTCAGCTGATTGATTGGTCTCACCCGCTTCGCTGAGGTGGTAGATCAGTTGTTTCATCTGATTTGCTGATCTATTTGATGGCATGATCAGTTGGCCCGTGACAGGGTGGTGCGCCCTCCCCAGTAGATTGTGTCTTCTGGCCCGTCTGATTGGCTGTTTGGACCGCTGAATACACCTGCCTAGCATGGGCAGATGCATAGCCATGATCTGCGCTTGCAGCTCTACATCCCGCTCACTTTTCCCTCCTTTTCATCGCGGCTTGAATGGACTACGTATCAAATCAAATAGTATGAATGAATTTGCGGGTAGAAATGAGAAGGTACAATGTCATGCTCTGTTCACAGTGGGCTCGCTTGATCACTCACCATCCGGGAGGATTAAGAATGAACCTTCACCTACCGTCTTAACCCGAAAACAACGTACGTACGTTGTATACGAAAACAATGTACGTACGTTGTATACGAATACAACGTACCAGGTACGTTGTATTCGAATACAACGTACGTACGTTGTAAAACGAATATTGGGGTACAACTTTTCCAGGGCAAAGATACGAAAAATTTAAAAAATTAGTAAAAGAAAAAATATGAAAAATATGAAAAATGAAAGAGGGGGAGCATGGTATCTGGCGTGTCGGGAGGTCCCCGTTGAACACTGTCGGGGCCAGACTTTGCAAGGAGGACTGGATTTCCCGCCTACGAATACAAACTTAGAACAGACAGTATTTGGCGCAACACTCAGTCCACATACAGAAGTAAGTGGAGATGTTATTTTTCCATGTAGCCGGCTTTTTTTTTTTTTTTTTTTTCTTCGTTGTAAACGGGGATTTTCTTGAAAACTTAAAACAGACAGTATTTGGGGCAACACTCAGTCCACATACAGAAGTAAGTGGAGATGTTTTTTTTTATTATTATTTTATTTTTTTTATTAAAACTGGATAAAGAAGAGAGATGTTATTTTTCTTTTGTAGCGGGTTTTTTTTTTTTTCCCTTTGTTTAGGGTACGTTGTATTTGAGGGTACGTTCTATTCGAAAAAAACGGCGGAATTTCTCAGAGGCCATTTTTCAGAGGTAAGTTGAATACAACGTACGTACGTTGTTTTCGGGTTAAGACGATAGTACATTACAAGATACATAACCGTGCTCTCACTGTATGTGCACGGTGGCTCGCGCGTCGGATTCTAGTCACCTGGTCTGTTGCCCGCTGATCGTCTCGCGCTGTAACTCACCAATGGGGAAAAATGGCATGGATCTCCCACTGGAACGCGGGAAGATACACCGTCGTTTGCTCTGCCCCTTGCTATCTGCCCGTCGATTCATCAGGCACATATATGACAGAGAATCATCAGCGGGAAAGAGCAAATCTGATAGCATTATTTAGGACTGGCTTTCGTGCTTGCTTGCGCACAATCTCTCTCTCTCTCTCTCTCTCTCTCTCTCTCTCTCTCTCTCTCTCTCTCTCTCTCTCTCTCTCTCTCTCTC